AACGACTGCAAATGCAGCCGGGACCAACGGCTTAACGTGCCTTCCGAAACACGGAATAGCTCGAGATAATAATTTTTTGGTCACCCATCCCGTGACCGACCCTAGCGAAAGTTGCTTAATGCAATCCCTATCACAAAATGCGCATCGAGTACCCCATCTTTGTATAACGATTCAAATAAAATAACCGACGACCAACTTATGAGGTGACACCACCTTAATATTCCCTTGACTGTGACTTCCATTAAACTTTGTACATTTTAAGCAGTTGGCTGTTGCGCAGTTGAAAATTCGGCGCATATTTAAAGGTTCAAAGAGCTTTGTTTAACTTTTTAGTCGCTTGAAGGGACGCCGGCCGCATAGCAAATTGTGTTCTTATGAGCGACAACAAATGATCCGCTTTCGCCATGCTTGGACAAAGTTGGAAAAAGGAAGATTCAGAAAAAGGAGCCGGTTACTTTCACACGGCCCTCGTTGACTATAAAATTAATGCTCCCAAAGTTCAAGCTGCCAAACAACGGTCTTAAAACATCTGAAATTATTTTAATCAAATCAACTTTTCTAGATGTTTGACAGATAACATTAGAAATCAAAGTCAAAGTTAAAATATGTCTATTCAAATACGCTTGTTCGCTGTTGCATCTGCATTTGTTAAATCTCCAAAAATCCGCACTAGCCCCGCGCGGTTGGTTGCCCATTCTCCCCATTCGATTTGTTTCGATTTCATTCACAGGGCTGAGCCCCAGTAATGTGGACATTGTAATTATTTATATATATTGATGATGAAATTATTTTTACTCATATTCATATTACAGTAGGATAAATTAATTATTAAGAAACTGTAATATCATTTGTCTGTGTACCTCCGCTTTTATAACGTGAAGTGTACACTCTACATAAATTCTATCACAATTGGCATCACGCCAAAAATACCAAACATCACTGTTTCATATATGATACAGTAAATAAGCACACATCTTCGTATACATCTCGTTTTATGATAACGAATTGTAGAGCTTGTGAGCTCCGAGTGAGATACAAGCATGCTAGTGTGTGTGAAAAGGACAGATATACACCTCGACATGTTTTGTTTTTATAACAAAGATAACGGCGGACAGATGTAATAATATGGTAATTAGCATATCGTAGCACGTGCGATCTGAGGGTAGCAATTTAACTAAGTAATATAGTATTATGTTTGTTGGTTAAAATTTTAAGGTGTTTTGGCTACAATAAGTAGACCTAATTAAATCATTATGGCACTTAAAACATTCAATACGACGGCTTATTTAATAATAAAAGCTGTAATGAGCTGCCAGTATTATTTAAATGTGATTAACTGCGAATAATTCCATTGAATAAAAATTTATAGTAAAATTTTGAAGAACAGTGAGAAATTAATCATTATGGTACATCACCATCACCAGCCTTTTTACGTCCCCACTGCAGGGGCTCAGGCCTTCCTTATGGATGGTTAAGGAGGATGGGCCATGACCCTCCACGCTGGCCCAATGCGGATTGGAAGGTATTAACGACTGCAAATGCAGCCGGGACCAACGGCTTAACGTGCCTTCCGAAGCACGGAGTAGCTCGAAATAATAATTTTTTGGTCACCCATCCCGTGACCGACCCTTGCGAAAGTTGCTTAACGACTACGATCGTGGGCCGCGATTTGACTGTAAAATATCCATAGTATAAAGTATTACATCACTAAAATATTAAACTTTGTTATTAACTCAAAGTTGCCAATAACTCAATTGGAATTGTGAAAAGGCTATACAGGTGCCGTGTTGTACCAAAATTTACCTTAATCATATAACTTAATGAAATGTGGATAAGTATGACTTTTCTGACTGATCATACTTATTTTTGTTTACATTTATAATACTATTTTATTTATACAGTATAATGCCGCTTTGTACAAGTGTTTTTTTCTCGACAAAGGAATTAAACAAACATTCAATTAAACACAAGAATTGCCGCATATTTAAGAGGTTCTCATGGATAAAAGAGTAGATTACAAAAAACAAATTCATTGTGTACATAAAAATTTAATTAGACGCTACAAACAAACACGTAAAGCAACATTAACACGCGTTACACCGTTAAAACGTAATAAAGCCGGGATACGGGTCAGCCAGTGCTCGTTACCCGGGTACAATAAATAATATTTCTCATTACGGGTCCACCGCTGTGGATTATAAAGGTCGCGTCAGATAGAACGCGGGCGTAGTATGGGCGCAGCCTCATTTTGTAGCAATACATAAATATAAATAAACGTCACAAAGCACATTCTGATAGGTTGTTTGAAAATATTTATTTTTTCTCTTTTTCTTGTAATATTTATTTTTATAAAAGATCTTAAAATACTCGAATCTAGGTTTCACTAATTATTTCTTAAATACAAAAATATTAGATAATATTGTTCGGATCCCAAATTGATTATCTAAGGATTTATATTATGGAAGGCTGAAATAACAAAATTGCCGTTATACAAACACCTAAAGCAGTATAGAAATGGCCAAAATTAATATCAAAAACTGTAAGTATCAACGACTCTGCTATTTTGAAGAAAACAATAAAAGCACTTTCTTTCTACCTCCCAGTACAAAGTAGTTCAAATTGCACTGTAGCTATCATTAATTTTAATGATATGATTAATGCTGTATAAACATGTGATCGGCATTAAACTTAAGACTTGCAACATATTTTAAATATTGTTAGTCTTTGCCAACGTATGACTGAAAAGACTTCAACTGTAAACATACGTACATATTTTGATTCTTTGACATTTATTACTCTTTTAATATGCCGGTCGGCTTTTGTGACATTACCATATGATAAAGGCATATCTCAGCCTTTCGTTTCTACATGTCTTTTTCATTTATTATGAAGATTATTTTACTATGTACACAACGGTTTTATTCGACGTTAAACGGAAGAAAAGCATTTTAAACGATTTTATAATGTTTTTTTTTTTTTTTAATATGCGTATATCGGATATTACCAGTAATGTTGGTCGATACTTTTTAACAAATTACATTAGTGCACCTCTCGTCGAAATAACACAGTAGTCGCGTCAAAGAAAATGAATACATGTTTTGCCTCAGAGATTTTGTTTTTTACTCCCTCGTAATGTATTTATAGTGCTATTAACTATTTTAAAAATATTATCAATAAACAAAGTTTAGCGTCAAGAGTAAATTTACGCTAAAATTGCAATTTTAGTATTACTCCAAATTCTTATTATACAGATAATAATATTACTCCCGTAAATAGTACTCCCGTAGTACCTCGTACTAGCATAAGCTTTTTTTTTACGCTGAGAAATGCGTTACGCATACCCGCTTCACCCTGCGCGGGCTCCACGGGTGATGTGGGACTCCCCCTGTGTCCCCACCCCCAAAGGTCGATGCGCCACAGAAGACCGACCTCATCACGCCCTGTATCAGCTCCGAGGAGCAGACAGGGCGCGTTCAGCCGATCGACGGGTCGCATCCCCTCTTTGCTAAGTCTCTGTTTAATAATATGAATTTTGTTTAATACTAAGTGCAGTCACAGCGTAAATTTACTCCAACGCTAAACCTTGTTTATCAATAAGTTTGTTAAAATCTTTACCAGGAATTGGCTTCTTAAACATTCTCATGCACAAACTGAGACACTACTTATCAATAGAAATTGAAAAATTATGTAGGTCACTGTATAATTTTTGGGTACTCTGTATGTTAATTCAGGCGTAGAAGTGACCACCGAGTTTCATAAAGATCCTTTCTCTAGTTTTTGCGCAAAAAAGTACGTATATCCACACAACCTCACATACATTCGCATTTATAATATCGAACCAGCCAATAATCCCTAAACATGTAATGCACTTTGATCACTTTATTTTTTTTTGGTTGCAACATGTTTAGGACGTACATTCTTGATTTCTCCATGACAACCCTTCCGGTTTTCTTCTATATATAAAATTGATTTCCAAAACTCAATAAACAACTCATATTCTATTTGACCTTTTTCGTATTTGTATTGATATGTATGTTTCAAACTTTGCAAATTTCAGTTTTTTAATATGTCAGTTAAAAGGTACGGAAATTACTATATTTGGTCCATTCGTTTCCTGCAAAAATGAACTTTTGGTAGTGAGGTGCTTTTTTAGTACTTTCTTTTTTTTCTTAAAATACTTCCTCATTGTGTTTGCGAAAAATGTAGGTACTAATGGTAGGAATCAGTTTGTTGTATGGGACACTTTTTAAAAATATATTTTATTCTATTGTTATTGAAGCGGCAACAGAAATACATCATCTGTGAAAAATTCAACTGTCTTATTTTCAAAGTTCATAATATACAGCTTGGTGACACACAGACAGAAGCCAAGCCTTAATAATAGAGTCTACGTTTTACCCTTTGGGTACGTAACCTTAAAAATTAAAGATGCTGCCGATAGTGCTACTATTCCTACGCGGACGAAGTCGCTTGCATAGCTAGTTATAATCATATGGGTCAGTATATACAATGTCGTCATGTAAGGGTTAGGGCCGGTCAGTCGTGTTACTTTGAAAGCATTACGAGATACATCCAACATTGTCCAGGACACCATTGTTAGAAATTTATGAATATCCCCATGACTTGGCGTTTTACACTGTACTTAAACGTGTTGCTATTAAATTAAGCTTTAGTGTAATTGCTACATAAGGAAAGTTCGATAAGGGCAATATTTAAGATTCATTATTAAGTACTTTAGTACCTAGGCAACACAACCCAAAGCCATACCCGAAATAATAGAAATAGGAAAGTTTAATTGTGTTTCTTAAACTTTGTTATTACTTAGTTCATTATTTGATAACGACAAAGTGATTAAACTATGAACTAAATTAGCAAACAAAATAAAACAAATTTCATGAAGTTATTAATGTACTACACAAACTTATTGTATCTATTATTTGTAAAGTTACTAACGCCTTCTAGTGACTGAAACTTGAACCAAGAGCCAGCTGAAAAATGCAATGCAAAAGGGCCTCCCGTATCCCGTCATCTACCGGCGGGATCCGGGAACACGTGTCCCGTCCCCACCCCATTCCGCCCCCACCCTGAAAGGCTATCGATCGTCTGCACCGACATTTACGGCAAACGAGTTAACCACAGCTGCCTTATCAGGTCTTAAGATTATTAATAATTTCAAGGGAACCAGGCCTAATTCGGTACAAAAGTGTGTTATCAATACCCAACTAATTGCTTCAAAGGTGAGTAGGATAAATTAAGTCAGTTTCCATTCATAATCTCATTCATTCATGATGACGTAGTTAAAAACGCAATTCGTGTTTTTTTGTCGCTGAATGAGTCTATTGTTTTATAAACGCCAAAATCGAACTTTTGTTAGCCAATTAAGACAAAAGCATGAAAGGGGTTAATATGTAATCGCTATCTAATAACTTTACACAATACTTTGCTCTATTTCGAGAAAATTCTTTCAGTTATCAGAGAGTTTTCTCGAAATAGGTCATATCATTTGCTACTCAATTTGTACTAATGTCACACCTTATAATTCGAAAATCAAGTTTCTCTGTTGCGCTTCAGTTTTCTGTACGCTTTTTTGTTTATGAACATAACGTTTCTTCTGTTATTATGTCAAATAATAAATTTATTAAATATGTGTGCTTTATCATATTTGGTCGTTTTATTGATTAGTATGAAACTTTATTAAATTTTTTGCCCTTGATATTTGTTTTATTGCGTCATATTTTGACATCTTGAAGCGAATGTAGGCATTACATTCAATGCTGAAGATATTATCCAACTGTCAATAATATTTGAGATTCGAAACATTTAATAAGATAGGTATGTTAGTTTTATTTCACAAATATTCTTCTATATTCTAAAACACGATCAGGAGAAAAGACAAATGAATGATACATTTCATAGTAAACCAACATTCTTTAGAAGTAGCTCCCTTTAAACGTATAACTTATGTACAATGAATATGTTCATGTACTGCAACAAATTATTTTTGTAATTTCCAGGACGGCACCTTTTCAACATCGACAGAAGACACAGCCCGGATACAGAACGACGGCGTCGCGCCGGACAATGTCTACTTCGACGATGAGGGGTCCGGCGTAGCGCCTGACGAGAGCTCCGGATCCGGCTGGGGCGCAGGACCAGGCCCGGACGACGAGGACGGCCGGGCCGGATCAGGTGACGCACCGGACGGCGACAGCGATGACGAAGACTTTGTGCGACCAACCAAGGCCCCCGCCACCGAAACTCCCCGGATAATGCCCGACGAGTCGTCCGTGTCCGGGGTGGCTGTCGTGCCTGAGACCGTGGACAATTTCCTCGATTCACTCATACCGGACACGAATATATCGCCGGACTCGAACATCTCGGAGACCGAACACCCGATCCCCCCACCAGATCAGACGTTCGATGTAGAAATTCGTGAGTAGTGGCTGAAGCATGCCAGTTCATTTGCTGATTTTCTTGTTTTTTTAAGAGCGTGAATTCAAATTTACAAAAAAAATAATCGTTTGATATAACTGTTGCAAATTATAATAACGTGTTTATTTGCATTTTCGCTCAGTATTTTTGATTTTTTATTTAATAAATATTATACATATGATTTCACAGTCAAAAATCTTCTTACAATATTCTGAAGAAATAGTTTACTCGACAAATTTTAATTTTCACAACAAATTAAACGGTAATTGAGAATTAATAAATACGATAATTATGATAATGCTTCTGTAATAATGCTTTAAGTTATATATAAAAATAAGCATCAATAGTAGGTAATGTAAGCTAATATATCTACATATTTTGAATATAAACAATGAAGCAGTGATCAGTTTTAAAATTAACAATACTGATAATAATAACTGACACGCCACTGATTCACAGCCTTGAGTTAACATTTAACATTTTTCCCATTATCTGCGCATTAGCAGAATTATGTTGAAACAAGTCAGTTTCCTCTTAAACAAGTAGGGTAGTAGTTGTGACGAACGCTAAACACTGTCTATATTTTATTCTCTAAACTTGATACTTTGAATTTCAACATATACCTATCACTACTGAGGATTCTTGGTAAGTATTCGTGTGACCGATTTCGATGTAATTATCGTCTCATTTTTCTTTTCCAATTATCTATATTTTGCATGATATCATTCATCGTCATGCGAGATTACATTAATAACATATACCATTAAAACTCCTGAAGTATTTGTTGTTGTTAATTTATCGCATGCGTTAAAGTAAACTAGCTCTAGACTTAGCTTCTTCATCTCATAAACCTTCATTGTGTCATTGGTATTTCTAATTTTATGTATAGACTTATCATACTTCATATTCTTTACTGTACTGGTTCCCTTCCGTTCCATATCCTTGAGTACCAAGTCTTCGTCATCATTCGTGTCGCATGACTGGACTTTGACACTATCCTAAATAATTTTCTCAATTTTGTTGAAACTTTCAACTTCAAAGATAAATCAATTTCACCTGTGTATTATAAAGGCCTTTGTTAAGATACCAATAATGTCTAAAATACCTAGCTGAGTCTTTACCTTTAAATTATTTGGAACTTGAATTCGCCCTCTTTCAGATGTATTATTCACCAATCATAAATATCCCTGGTTAATTTAATTATTCGAACATTCCAGCTCGCATCTTGAAGCCAAGCGAAGGAGCAGTAGATACTAGAGCAGGAGGCGCGAGGGAAGAAGTAGCCTCGCGCCCTGAAACAGACATTAGCATCTCTGGAGAGGACCTTAATCCAGATATTGTAAGTATTGTAAATTAGAACAATAAAAAAAGTCATGATTGCCTAAACTTTTAGTGCAATGCTTTATTATCACTGTATCTGCTTTCTAACTTTCATGTGCTACGTTTTTAAAAGCAACCATATATAGGGAATAAATAATTGTTAAATTCTATTAAATAACAGATGTGTGTATAATTTTATCATCGTAATTTTAAAATCATAGCAGTCCGAAAGAGAAATTAAATCATCGCAACTTATGTTTTTCCTATTCTTCTTGTCGTGCTCTGTGAAAATGAAAAATGGCGAAAATTTATAAAAAGCTAATTAGGTAAACTTTTTTACAATGGCCCTTGAATAAGTTAGGCAACAAATTTGCGATTCATTTATCTAGACATGTTATCTAATATCGTATCTTAGACTATTACACTTTAATGTAGAACAAACCAAATAATAAATGTCTGGATTTATTATACACATCAGCAACATCGGTAAGTGTCCAGGCAGGAAAATGATCCGGATACGGTTATCATGTCCTTATATGAATCAGACAAACGGACATGGCATACGTAACATAATAACTCCGATTAGACAGTGCCTAACGACTGCGAATGCTCTTGGAATGTCTAAAATCCGATTTCCAGTTCCTCCGTGCTTCGGATAGAATGTTTAACCATAGTCTACATTGACAGTTACAACATTAATCCATTGTAAACTTTTACATTAAAGAAAGCTGACCTTGCACATTGATATATTTAGATATGATGTTAAAAATTATGGCACATCTTCAATATCGTACTTTCTCTCGTACCCTGATGATACACTAGCCTCTAAAACATCGATTTACATTGGATTTCATGAATAAACATAAATAAATTATTCCTTTTTTTTTTTTGTACAAAAAAATCTCAGACGATTTTATTACTTATAATAATATGCAAGCCTAGCTAAGGACATGCCGTTAAATTCTGGATCCCATGTCATGGACTAAATATATTTTACAGGCGCCGACTTTCAATTACTGCGCAATAACGCAAGACTAATACTATATACCCCGTTATGCGCAGTTTCACTATAACGCGAAATTCAAAGCTGCGAAAGATCGGCTAACACTTCTGCTGGGTGGTAATGCCACTGGTGATTTCAAATTGAAATCTTTACTAGTGTACCATTCAGATTAGTGAGTAGCTCGGTAGCGTAGTGGATAAGCGCCGCTGCCCGCGATCGTAGTCGTTAAGCAACTTTCGCAAGGGTCGGTCACGGGATGGGTGACCAAAAAATTATTATCTCGAACTACTCCGTGCTTCGGAAGGCACGTTAAGCCGTTGGTCCCGGCTGCATTTGCAGTTGTTAATACCCTCCAATCCACATTGGGCCAGCTTGGAGGATCATGGCCCATGCTCCTTAACCATCCATAAGGAAGACCTGAGCCCCTGCAGTGGGGACGTAAAAGGGCTGGTGATGATGATGATGATGATGTACCGTTCAGAAACACCACGAGCAATGCGAGGCACAGAAAAGACAAGTCTAGCAGTTGTGTGGCGATCAAACAGAAAGGCGTGGGTTACACGAGATTTTTTTTTCCCGTGAATGGCTTGGACATATTGCAGAGTATAGACAATAATGATGACCGTGTCTTGACCGTGTGTCAAACAATTGAATACAGTGTTGAGTGTTATGAACGTATTTTACAAAAACGTAAAAAAAACGCTACCCAAAAGTCAATATATGTATTATTCCTTAAAAAATAATGAATAGTGTGTATCGTATTAAGTTTTCTTAGAATTATCCCTCGCGTAAAGCGGGGCATTACCGTAATTAAACTTCTAATGGCAATATTTTCATGTTTCGTGCAATGAATCTTCAGTTCAATACTGAATATGTTTATCACTAACTTTAGACCTTGTTGCGCATAACAATCTGCCACTAATCGGTATCCCTATTGTCTGAATTTCAGGACCACGAGCCATCCGGTTCCAACGTGAACGCTGAGTCGCGGCCGGCGGACAACGTAGTTTTTATCATGAACGCCAAGCCCGAGGACCGCGCTGCCAGCTTCTTCGCGCAACCGGGCATCCTAGCCGGTCTGTACCTATGGTTTTGTCTTCATAACTGATTTCAAACAATTTGTATACATAATGGGTTATAGTTTTGAGCCAAACTGCTGTGTCTACGTTACCTAAAAAAACGGTAAACCTCTTCAGTGTGAGTGTCGATTTTCATCACACCGACTCCGCTTCGCATCTCACTTTGCCATTTTGTGAGAGATGCGAGAATTGTGTCCTAAAATATAATTCTTATTTTACTGATCTCAATTCGGGTGTCGAATTTTTAGTCTACCTAGAATACATGGCAAACACGTTTTAGCCTAACTTTATGTCACCTAAAGTAACTAATTAATAATAATATTATTGATATGCAGGACGAGCTATACTACTTTGTTACTCGATACAATATACTAATATAATTGTGTATTCTGTTTCAGCTGTGATCGGCGGTGCCGTAGTTGGGTTGCTGTGCGCAATACTGGTCGTAATGTTCATAGTATATCGCATGCGCAAGAAGGACGAAGGCTCATACGCACTGGATGAGCCGAAGAGAAGCCCCGCCGCAGCGTCCTACGGGAAGGGACACAACAACCGCGAGTTCTACGCGTGAGACGACGCAGAACAAACCATGCCACGTGTGTACTAACCGGCGTCTCCGACCACACTGCCGAGTCCGTCGTTTGGAACGCCGTTATTTTTTGAATTATGACAGATCACGTTCCGATTCAAGCATATATTTACTTTTATAGCGTGGCTAAAATTGTTCTGTGAATATAAGAAAAAGTTCCGACGAATTAAATGTATTGTTTAATTTTTAATAATTTAACAAGATTTATGTACGGATTGTACTGTAAAATGTATAAATCTTGTACAGATTTAACGAAGGAATTATTTGATAATAACAATTAAATTTATTATTGAAAAAAATATCAAATTCAGACCAATTTATGGAGTGTGGTGTTGAATGAAATTATTATGATGGAATAATATCTAAGTGTATTAAATATAACTTCTTTATACTTATTATTGAAGACCAATGAACTTGTGTGTTTATAATCATCGTTGTATTTCATCTTGTGACGCATAGAGATCTTGGTGTTAAACTGTAAAAATCAATGTGCCATCTGCTTCTAATGATTTATCTTCGCGTAGACTGTTAATTGTAAAATCTCAAAGTCTATGGACTTGTCCATACTATAATTTTATCTATGATATATATTATAATAATTATATTCATTTCCGTACGTATAAAGAATTTCACTAAATTCTAAGTAGGTTTAATGCAAAAAAAAGGAATAAAAGCCATTAAAGACTTTAAATTTTCTCAACGAACGTTTTTGTGTTTTGTGTATAATAAAAAAAAAGTCATATCATTTGCACAGAAAAATAAACAATAAATATTGATGTTCCTCTATATAAAATATATTGTCAATTTTTTATTCAATTTGTTAATGTATTAATAAATTACAATTTTACAGTATATATTGTAAAATAAAATTGTTGTTTAGGGTGACAAAATGACTGTTGATTTGGCTATGAATTTGAGGCAAAAATTGGATTTATTATAATATAAAATCTATGATACGTTTAGTTTCTTAAGTTACGACTATTTTAATCTAGGTTGTGCAACGAAATGTATTTATTTAAATATGTTTCTATTCTCATAATTTTCTTATCATGTATCAACTTTTGTGCCATCTGCTTCATTTAGTTCTGTTTTAATATAAGCTTAACTTATTAATATCCATAATCTTTTATGTTTTAGAGGATCAATTGATTGGTATAATGTTTCTTTTAAAATAAATGGGCATTACATTTAAGACAGGTATTTATTTTTATACCAGCAAATAAAATTTTCGTAATAGTAAATTAATAAATTAATATTTAATGATTTTTTCTTTGTAAGTCTTTGTAAGTTTTCTTTTATGTTAATATACGATGATAAGTATCTTTATGACATAAACATTTAAATTGAAAGATAGAAGTTAGCTTTTAAGTTTATAGTTAATGGTTGATTTCATCACAATCGAAGTTAAATTGAAATAGCCATGATTTATTTATGGATATTAATTTTTTTTTTTTACTTATACTATTTTATAAGCTTTAATAGAATGCGTAGCTATTGATATCATACATTAATTGTATGTCAAAATATTTTAAAACATTCAGTGGGAAATTTAATTGTATATTTTTTCTTGGCATAACAATTTCTTTTAAATTAGATCAATGTCTTTATAATTACGCCTTGTATAAAGTGCAGATTGTTCGAAGACAAGCGTCTAATGTGAAAAAGTCCCAAATACATTCCTATTGGATCCGTAAATAGAACTGTGTATTGTAGAGAGCGCACGCTCGATTAGTTAAGAGTTTGTACATTGTATTTGTAAATTCTTTTAGAGGTATAAAATGTGTAATTTATGCAGTAACTCGTCGTTTAACCAAATATGTGTAGTTAAAGTTACTCTATTAATTTTACTTTTTCTTATTTTTCATTTATTTTTATCTTTCATTTTGTTAATGATTACTATTAAATAAAATCTAAACTTATATTACTCCTAGCTCTATGACTACATTACTACCGGTAATTAACTTTGAATTACATTTTTAAATAATTCAATAATAAAATCAACAGACTCTTAGAATATAAATCCGCAAGCCTTAATATAAAACCAATGTCGATAAAATAAATATTGTCGTTCACTAATTTCGATCATAACCTACAAAATATTAAATGAAATAAAATATGTCCAAGGTAGTCGTATAAGTGTCCGAATAAAAAAAAATATATGAATAACAAACCCATTAGTCTAATATCTTGGTATGCAGGACAAAATATTTGATGTCTATCAGGAATATTTAAAAATCAGATCTTAAAGAACCAATTTTACAACGTATCTGGTTATAATATCTTTTATAGTAACATTACAAACCTATTATATCAATAGTCTATTCAAATGTATCACTAAAAAAAATCACTCGAACGTTTTCTTTGTAAATCTTCGTTATTCTTCAAAATCATAGATATCCTTATTTATCACGTATCCATGACAATTACACTGTTTATTTATCTATTCCAAAAAAAAAATACAGTTTTGTTACAAATCTATATTCCTATGCTTTTCCATTTAAAATATTATCGAACACGTCATAGAGATTAAATGAAATAAAATCTTTTTATTTCTTGAAGAAGGTTTCATTTGATCGAACCTTTTTGCTATATTAACTCTGCTCTAGACGTCGTGTCCGATGCTGTTTTTATAACAGAATAATACTGCAGAATTTGTGTAATTAATTAATGTCATACGATTTTCGTAGAATCATACGATAATGGTTAACTAAAATATTATCTGTAAATATCAATGTTGGTATTTGTAAGCTAACCCTAAAAATAAATAACTCAATATGACTCACTCATGTTGGCAACATTACTGCAAATCTGTTTACTATATTATACTTAGCATTGCTACAGATAATATGTAGAATTATATTATAATGAGTGACTATGGGAAGTATAAAAGGAAAAACAAGAAACAAGTATTGCTTGACAAATTCTATAATTTTGATTATACCCGTAATTATCGATGAAAAAGAAACGAGCCACCAGAAATATTCAATATAATGTCAAAATTAATATGTATTATGTCAAGAAGAAAACTAAAAATAATAAAGTGTAATTTTTTTTATTCCACAGACCAAAACAAATACTTAATTATTCCTAAAGTACTTTTACAAATACTTTTTAATGAATTTATTGTTAAGACAATATTCTCTTTTTGACTTTGTTCCTTCTATATATACTTTTTACCAGGGGTCGGAAACCGGTATATTTTTCGAAACGTTTTCATCTTAAATACCTAAAAAACACTTTGTTTCGGTTTCATTCGAACAGAACGATATAAAAAACGATTTTGGAAAAAAAACAGAATTATATTGTTTTCGGTTAATAAAACGTTTTTAACCATTTATTTTGCGTTTTTTTGCATCGCATACTGTAAATAACGTAATAAAATAAATGTACGCCGCCCTTACAGGCCGCGCGGCACCGTCTTGCGGATTAAACCGGTTTTTTAAAGCGTTCTCATTTCGTTTTCGTTTCGAACGCAATCTTGCCCAAAGAACCATAAGAAACGTTTTAAAAACGTTATTTTGAATAACGTTTCCGAGCCCTGCTTTTTACAATTTAAATCATAGTCTTTCTTTTACTTTCAAGTTTGTATAATGTATTGCCAACAGTTACTTATAAATATTATTCGTCAATGTTGCCAACATAATTTATATCATTAACACACAACGGCTATAATTGTCTTTGTAATTTCATGTTCAGATGAAAACGTTCCATAAGTACAGATAACAATACATCATGTTATACAAATCTGTTAAATTTCTGAATTTAAACCTTAGCACATTGAAAATTAGGTTCAAATTCGATTGCAGAAATTTGTCATTTTGTTGTTATATGATGTGCTGCTTTGTGTACTAACGTTGGATGAGAACTAAATTAAACTAGGATAAGCGGTAGCTATATAATGAGTGTCCACCTTGTAAATAGAATCCTTTACACTTAGATAAATATACAGGTCATTATGAACAAAAGCATAATTGTTTTATTTATATATCCTTCAGTATTATTTTACTATAAAGGAACTTAAACCTAACTAAAAACATACTTAAACATACTAAGTATGTAAAGGAATAAAGATTTCAAAGAGGTTAGGTGCAGAAGTTGGATGATTGAAATCAGAAAAATATAGAGCAAAATATCCCAAAATTTGTCTTCAGACAGCAGAAATTTCTGAATTTTTGAGGATTGCGTCCAGATTTGGGGTTTTGATTATTTTATAGTAAAAAGTTACAAAAACAGAAAAACTAGAAACTAATTAAAAATATTTTGGTAATCGTAGTTGCTTAAAATCATTCTCTCTACTTAACTAGGTACAGAATACCTACTTAATCAGTTCTAATGAGTGGTTCGTTAGACTTCGATATTAAAATATCATCTTATGTTGAAATTTGAAATTTTGAAAGCCTCTGAAGAAAATGAAACAGCAAATTTACCTAAACTCACATAAGTATTACTATATATCAAGGTACGACTGATTGAGACTACGAAGACCCACTGGATAGATAAATCAAATTCATTGACTCAAGTGAGAAGAGCCCCACATGGCTCTACCATTTTCTGGAAGATAGATTTTTCCTACGGGAAAATATCTGTTATCTATATTTATAATTAAAGGCGAAAGATTTGATTGTTTGTTTGCATTAATTAGGCTCCGAAGGTACTATACCGATTTTAAAAATCCTTACACCTAGTGAATGCTACACCATACGCTGATGACATAGGTTATAATATACGCGGCCGAAGTTGCGGGAAAAGTTAATTCATTACTACTAGTTCACGATAAAAAAACGACGATGTCAAAAACCAATAACATTAACATAGATTCGTATTCCTGTGCAATAAAGATCACTCCAAAACGGTAGGCATTTTGTTTATACATTGTTTGATATGACGTCAATGTACGCGAGTCACGACTACCACGAGAGGAGTAGATATTATTATTTAGCCTTTTGCGTCAGAGGCAGCGTGGCCGAGTGGTCTAAGGCGCTGGTTTTAGGCACCAGTCCGAAAGGGCGTGGGTTCGAATCCCACCGCTGTCAGATTTCTTTTGCGTTTTTATTTATAACTAGCTGACCCGACAGACTTCGTCCTGTCAAAAAGATTTGTAATGTGGCAGTTTTTTTGCCTACGTATTTAAAAAAATTCTCCTGAACAGAACCGTCACCCTGGTGATAGGGCGTTGTGAATAAAAAATAATTAAATAAAACATATATAAGGATTTAAAAGTAAGTAATCGCTTTATTGTTAATCATGTGAATCATAATTATTATTGCAATGTATTAATAGTAATAGTATTAAATATAGAAAAAAGAGATTTTTATGATCATAAAAACACATTACACACAACAGCATTATAAAAGTAAACTATTCGAATTAAAAAAATATATAAACATTCTCAAGGAAAAATGCTGGAAGAATCCATCTACCTGTACCCCGGAATGGGACTCGAACCCATTCGCGATCCAGGGACTGCTCTAACCAATGAGCTATCTAGGACCCAACAGCTTTGCTACTACAGAGCGTATTTTCATCAATGTTCCGGCAATACATGTAATGACGTGGAAACTGATGCATTTTATCTCGCGTGCCGAAACTAATACAAAAGAAACGCGAGTTTCGGAACGCGACATTAAACTCCTCCAACTATGTATTCTGTGCTCCAACGCACACACGCACATTGTTTTGATAGATATGATCTTTGACGTTAGGAACACACCTACATTGCTTAGACAACAGTGAGTGCTTGTAATTTAATATGAACTTTATACCATAGCAATAAAGCTCAAATTGACTACGTTTTAGTTACAAATCATTTGTATGGGAAAAAGAAAAGGGCTATTTTTAGGGTTTTTCCAGCAATAATTCTAATTTTTCTCGCCGTAAAAACCATCCTTGAACTTCAACGAACATTTTAAAAAAAGATTTGGCCAAATTGGTCGAGGCGTTGTTGAGTTATGCGCTTACCAACACATTTTGCGATTCATTTTTATATATATAGATTGTATAAATATTTAATTTTCCTTTATCAAAACTATAATTTTCCAGGGTAATATTTGTGGTTTGTTCCTAGAATTCTACAATATGAATAAGCCCGTGAACTTATTTACTAGTCTTACATTAAAAATTGTTTTAAGAACATAAGTATCTACTTCCCACCTCAAATGGAACGCTTAAATTAAAACTAGAAGGTGAAGAGGATTTAAGTTTTTTATTGTATTATTAATATAACATTTACCTATGCTATTTGAATAAATTAGAACAAAAGTG